CTGCTTCCACTGCTACTGCTACTGCTGCTCTTGCTCCTACTAAACCACTACTACGACGACTACCACTATCCCCCGCCTCCAACCCACGCCACTACTGCTCCCCCCGCTACCCTGCTTCTGCTTGTGGCTGTACTTCTGCAGCTGCAGCTGCTCAAGCTCTTGGCCGCAGCCCTGCTATGCCCTACTTGCCCGTTCCCCGCTGGTGGTGAAGGCATGTGAAGGCACAACAGCCCCCAATACGAAGATTAGTGACGGGATTCGTTGAAGGCTCAAGAGATGACGGAAGGCGTGCATGCCGGCGAGTGCGTCTCTCTGCTTTCCGTACGGTGTACTGGATTGCATAAGCATCAACTGGATCATATCATGTACATGCATCGGCTCCCAAGCCCAGAAAGCTCAGCTGGGGTCGTCACTCAGATGGCGGCCCAACTTCAGGGTGTACGCAAGCCGTTGGAATTCGTGCACCTGTTGGGTAAAACGTGCAAAGATGCCCAGAATGACCTCGTGCAGCAACTTGGAATCTGGCTTCCTGAGACTCCTCAAGAGGCGTGCATCGAGACCTGGGCATTGTGGTATCTCAACACTCGCACACATGTAATTAAGGGAGAGAGCTACGAATGGAGTTGATTCAACATCAGACATTCTTCGAGAATGAGCCCGCATGAGCGCAACGGTCATGGACGATCGTGGCAAAGACTCCGGCCCATCCCTGGCTAGCACGTCGGCCTTGCAGTTGAGCAGTACAACATCACTCGACAGACTCAACACTCTGGCCTTCTGACCGTCGGGCTGGCTGTCGTGAACACTCGCACCTCAGAGGGACAGCCGATGTAACGTTCTGAGGCTGATGGAGGAGAAGTGGTCTTGCTGCAACCGGTGCATGCCTCTGAGCAATGACGACAAAGGCCGGAACCGTCTTGCATCATCATCGGCACCTGGCTCTCGATCCAGTCGTATGACATGGTCTCAGCACACGTCACTGTGTCAGAGCTGTCCGCTGCCTCCGCTGTGAGATCAAAGTCCGCACTGCCAAGCTCCTGCAAAGCTGCAGACCAAAGCTTGAAAAGGGGAGAAGAGCTTAGAGCGTTTGAGAACTTGAAGAAGCCGCCTGCGATTCTACTAGCTTTTCAGCTGCTATCTCTTTTCGAGCTGCCAAGGTGACCGGAGCACTGATCTCAGCACTCAGGGTGTGCGCAAAGGGATACGCTCGCCGCTGTTCGGATATATGGCTGAAACCGTGCCGTCTGCATAGAACTCCAAAGCCGAGGGATGCGCGGTGCCCGTGTAGTACTGCGAGATTAAAGAATCTGCGAGGACGAAGCTCCCTCCACAGCGATCATGTATTCGTCCATCTGGCTGGGCGGTATGACCGACGATCATTCTGGTTGCTCCTGTGAGTTCCAATGTCTTCTGGACCTCCTGACAGGCCTGAGGCTCTGGACCAAGCGCGAGCTGCCTGGTCCAGAAGGGGCCTTCATCTCCAAGCAGCGGCGAAGGCTCCTCCCGGAGATTGCTTGCATCTGAGCCTTCGAGGAGCCCTTTCACAGCACTGTTCAGCTTCTCTGCATCCCCACTTTCGATGAAGCCTGGCAGGAGTCCAGCATGGACAAAAAGCACTGGCTTCGATAACCCATCCTTTGGACCAAGCAATGCCACGGCTTGCATGCGTTGTCGTATGGCCTTTCCAAGCCAACCTTTTGCCGAGAAGGCCTCAGACCTGGAGGAGCTGTCGGCAAGCAACGACAATGTGTCCTTCTTCGTGGCATAGCGGAAATCGTTTTCCAAGTTCATGAGCTCATGGTTGCCAATGAGGAGAATCACTCGGCCACCGTGCACAGGAGCCTCATCCTGCAAACGAAACAGAGCTCGGAAGATGTCGCCAGATTCATCCCCACGATCGGTAATGTCTCCCGTCTGAACCAGAATCGCTGTGCCTCCAGTCCACTCACCACCCTTTCCCATCAGCCCAAGTGATGTCAAGATCTTCACCGTACTCTTGTAATCACCATGTAAGTCGCCGACGGAGTAGACAGACCGAACGTCTGTCTCTAATGCAGATGTAGCTAGTGCACCACGAGGCATCACCATGCAGGCAAACAACATCATGGCAGCGCCAGCTGCCTGGCAAATATTTGATATGCCAGATCTTTGGGACGGAGGTACTCCATGTCGCACTGTTCGCAGCGGCGCGCGCATTCGGCAAAGAGGCTCGCGAAGTAAGGAGCTGCAGAAAGAGAGCGTAGCCGTGGAGCAGGCAGCCAGCAACAGCAGCACAAGCTTTCGTGCAAAGATCTTGAAGCGAAGACCCGACGCCATAAGCATCCAGAGCACCAAGATGATGGACTGCGAATGTTAGCAACTAGCTGTGTGAACAATGACTTGTCAGCCACGCTCGTCTGTCAACACTGCTGAACTGACAGCATAGAACTTTCTCTCTGGAAGATGCCTAGCTCTACGAATATCAGCAACAGCTTGCGCTAGCCAAATCACAAATCAAGGAAGGTCATTGTTCTGGTCTCACATGTTGTTTGTGCCATTACTACGGCTACTGCTATTGGTACTGCTATTGCTACTGCTAGTGCCAATGCTATTGCTATTGCGAGTCAGATTCCGATTCCCACTCTCATTCCTACTACTATTACTACGGTTGCGATTGAGATTGCGATTGCCATCACTATTGCTATTGAACGGATTTCCCGACTATTGCCATGGCTACCACCGTTACTATGATTGTTACCATTCACAGTACTATAACTTCGGCTACTACGCTACCCATGACTCTGGCCCTGACTCTAGCTATGTCTTTGGCTGGCAGTGACTATGACATTGACATCTACTTTGACCATGACTATGACCACGATTGCGACTATTACCATCACATACTCTTACTGAGACTAGTACTATGACTATGACTTGGACTCTGTCCATGGCTATGACTCGGACTCTGTCCATGGCTATGACTCTGACTCTGACCTTGGCTATGGCTATTTGTCAGTGACTACTGCCGTTGCCATGGCTACTGCAATTGCGATTACGACGAACACGACCACGACTACTACTACTCTTGCAATCCCTCTTACTAGTATTAGTACTATTCCGGTTACGACTTCATTTTTTATCGGTAGCAGTACTACTATTTCGATTTGTATTTCCATGTCCAATTCGACTTCTATTTCCATTGCTATTCCTGTTGCCATTAGTAGTAGCAGTAGTAGTAGTAGTCGTCGTCGTCGTCGTCGTCGTAGTCGTCGTCGTCGTCGTCGTGGTGGTAGTAGTAGTAGCTAGTAGTAG